AAGAGTCGATGGTATTATATGCGTATACAGATGGTTCCAATTCAGGATGTTTCAACTTAGGATGTTTCGACTTGATGATGGTATATGAAGCAATACACTGTCCACTGCACTCAAAACTGTACTTTGAGTTTGGATCCTGTCCCAGGCTGATGATGTGATACAATCTTCTCTCGAGGCTGGGCAGCAGCAGCGAGCCTCAGTTCCTAGGAAGCCCCATAGTTATGATGAAAAGCAACTCATCCTCCAGTGTGCTGTGTTGCTAAACCAATAGGCCTAGCAGGTTAAGTGTATTAAATGCATTTTTGACTCAGGGTATTGTCGGTTGACAGTGGGCTTATCTGGATGTCATCCCATCATAAGTCAAGGAGCAGCCTTAGAAGCTGAGAGAGGCAGAAAGAAGAGGCTGGGCTGGCATCCAGGATTCCTGGCCTCAGCGCCAACTCTGCCACCTGCCACTACCACGAAGGATGGGCACATACTCAACTTCTATAAAGAGGGCCCATATTTATTTTGTAAGGATTCTACATAATCTGACACTTACCATATTGTTTGGGCACATGATAGGTTCTCAAGACGTGAGAACAGTTGTCAAGGCAATACTTTCTAACATTCTTCCGAGCTTTAAAATCCAACAGTCCGGGCAAAATATTGATGGTTGTTAAAGCTGAATGATGAAAGTAGGGAGGTCCCTTGTGTTCTCTACTTTCACTGGTGTTAGGAACGTTTCAAAAGTAAGAAAAAGAAGAACAGGCCTGGTGTGGTGATGTATGCCTATGATCCCAGTGGCTGGGGAGGCTGAGGCAGGAGGCTCACCATTTCAAAGCCAGTGGCAGCAATTTTGCAAGGCTCTCAGGAACTTAGGGAGACCCTGTCTCAAAATAAAATATAAAAAATGACGGGGGGATGTGAATCAGTGGTTCCGTGCTCCTGGGTTCAATCCCTGGTACTAAACAAAACAAACAAACAAAAAATTTAAAAAAAAAAAAAGAAGAAAAGAAAAACATATAGTCAGCCCTCTATGTCATGGATTCAACCAGCTGTGTATTAACATGCTTTGGGAAAATTCTGAAAGTTCAAAAAAAAAAAAACAAACCAATCTCGAATTGGCCACATTCCAAGCACTCTATAGACTCCAAGTAAATCAAGTGATGTACACCTTGCGCTAGCCACTTCATAGATCCTGCATCTCTTTCCAACACTTGTTTGAGCATCGTCCACCTCACATCCCATTCACATGTAACTTTAGGCCTGTGATACCTGCATCTGTAAAGACATGTACAGACTTGTACACAACTCCCTAAACAACTATTTACATGGTATTTACATGATTCAGGTAATATAACTAACTTAAAGATGATTTTAAGTTTGTAGGAGGATGTATGTAGGTTCTATACAAATACTACATGACTTTATACAAGGGACTTGAGTGTCTGGGGATTGGGTTATCCAATAAAGGTCATGAACCAATCCCCTAAGGATACTGAGGGTCTGAGCGTGGAGGTGCTCAGTCCAGAAAAGAACCTGGCCTTGGTTGCTGCCCACTGACTGGTATCCCAGAGCAAGGCCAGTTGTCCGTAAGTTTCCTCTGGGAGAGATCAGGAAGGCTTTCTCACAGTTCTGAAAAACTAGGGGATCTGCCAACATGGGATCCACTTTGCTGCCAAACAACAATGACCTAAAGCAAAGTACCCCGTGTTTCTCTGAGCCACAGCTGTGCTCTGCATTCTTCCTCTCTTTCTTCTATTTTTGGCTCATTTACATTACCTGCCAGAACTTGTAGCATGTGGTGCCGTCCAGACTGGCAAATGACTCAGTCTTGGAGCAGTGTTCCCATCTGTATTGATTATTGATGCCCATGTATATTGGCTTTGAACTCCCAGGGGAGAGAGGGATGCTTTGCTGCCCTTGCTATATCTCCACTTCATCCCCCTGAATTTTGAAACATGAGCTGATCCTTCACGATTTCGATAGAAAAGCAAAAGGTCAGGCAGAGTGGACTTTTAAGATTGCACTTAACAACTCAGATGAGCAGAGAGGAGAAGGTGAACTCCACAAGGCTCTACCAGTTCCTCAAGCTTTTGCAAAGAGGAACTGAGGAAACGTGGGCCAGGTTCCACTCGGGTCAAATAAGAGAGATTCTCACTTCAGAGTGAGAAAAGGTATTTCTTTATGTATTTAAGATGACCCTGCTCCTAGGATGGAAATGGCTAAAACAACCAAA